AGATTTATCCAATGAAGTAAATGTTAACCCTCGTCTCCAGCCCATATCACAAAAAATCCGTCCTCTAAAAGTAGCTATCTAAAGACATCGTCCTAATATGCGGATGTAAAATTACATGAAGACGGCCTTCATGGACATCCCATACTTATGAGTTTGAAATTTAACCTCTTGAAAGATCATAAAGTGACTCCTCATCAATACTGCATATCCAAACCCTATGTTGCCCAATTGATCCACTCCTATGTATGCGTGAATATGAATTGATTATCCAATGCATATAGATGCAAAAAACGCCATCGCCTCCGAGCCCAAACTATATGTAAACCATCGCTCTCATGTATTCGTTCATTATTCAAATCCCATTCAAAGGATCATAACTTGGGACGGATAATGCAATCAAAAAGTGTTTACCACCAATTCCCCACACCGCCCAAGGTATTTGCATCTGGTCCTTGTTGGCCTGTTTGACTTTGGAAATCCCTCGCCAAATCATCCCAGCCAGCCCAGCCAGGATCGCCATCAATGGCATTCATGTCAAGATCTAATAAGGCATTGTCATCCATCAACCAAGATATTTGAGTCTGGCCTTGTAATTGTTGTTGCTGTTGCTGCATTTGAAGTTGAAGTTGTATCTGCTCGGGCGCTAGCATACCCATTGATGCTACATGTGGAGAAACTGCCATGCCAAAATCATTATTGAATTCCTGCTGTTGCTCCCTATAATGTGAAGTTGGTTTCGCTTCCAATACCGGTCCGTTGGTAGCATCATGCATTGACCTTTGAGCTCTGCGCATGGCGACAGGACAATCGTGAGGGGCTCCTTCCCAATGATCATGATCTTCCTCGTTTTCTTCTTCCATCGAGCTCATATTTTCTTCTCGCTTTCTCCGAGCTCTTGCCATGAGTTTTCGCATGGGTTGCCAAAACATACCGCGTTTGCTGCTACCGACAGCAGAACTCCAATCTTCAAACGCACTGTCAATAGCTTGCCAAGCTCGCTCCACGAGTGGAGAATTTTTGCGAACAGAGAGTTCGCCAAGAATAAAAGCAATAGCGTGCCATTGCACCTGTAGGTATGGCGGTCAGTAGTGTTAAGTACCACGAAGTCTAACATATACATACATAAGTGCGGAATAACCAGCCCCATTTCTTGGTAGAAGCTTCTGTCTCCAAGATTCTTGAATACTCGATAATTTCGATAGATGACTTGAGAAGACGGTCCTTCGTGTGTGGAGATAAACATTGAGGCCTACCAGGTTGGATCAATGGATGGTAAATTATCAACGACATCTTTGCAAATATGAGACGTGCCACTGTACCCGCTACCCACTACCGTTTCAAACATTAGTAAATAAGCAATGCAATGAGAATATGCGGGTGTACGCGAGGTATGCATTGCATTTTCTTTGTAGATTTGAATAACCAAGATAAAGCACGAATAAAAGCTTTTGCTTACATAGAGAGGGCCTGCATTCTCACAATATTTGAGATATTTTTCTTCCATTCGAGCCGCAGTCTCTTTGATCAATTCTTCCTTCTCTTCGAGCGTAAGGTTTGTTGGATTTCCTATGGGACAAGGACCACGACCTGGTGGAGTGTATTGGAGGCGTTTTGATAAAGCACATATCTCAAACCTTACAAGAACGAATGTCATATCCGAAACTCCTTCTCGGGGTTGTGGTGGTTCCTTTGCGTCTGGATCTAGATCTTCATCGTTTATCGAAAGTGGGAATTTGGTATCAAATATATGATCAAGTATAGAAGGGTCAGATCCATGGTCCTCGGACGCCCTCACGTCCAGGACACAGATTTGCCACCAAAGCCGTCTCCTCATTTCCGTATTATATGGGGATAACCCAAACTTCTCCCCGTCACGATGCAACCCTGAACTTGTTAGATATTTAGCTTGAGAATCACTTATACAAGAACTCACCAAGCGATTGGCCAATTCTCATAACAAGTCCAGTTAAGGACCATACAAATCGAGTATCGTCATGTCTACGAACACAAGTCAAGAATAACACGAATGCTTGAACAGTCATAATTTCGTTCGTATTAAGGAAGCCTGCCCTGGCAAGAGCTTGCTCGGTACCAAATCGGTACTTTCTTAGTAAGGCATCTTTCTCGACTCCAAAGTTGGTAGCAACCTTAAAAAAGTCAGTCATAGCTTCATAGAATTAGAGCATGTAGGAATGAATTAGAAATACAAACCTCTTCATCTGACATAGAAGTGATCGTTGCAAAATAGATAGAGAACATCAAGGCTTCTGTGCTCTTGCTTATAGTGTCTAGATTGTGCTGAACTTCTTTGATGATTTTCCCTGTCGTAGGCACATGGAGAAGCTTGACCAATGGCATCACATTCTCTAGAAATGTTGACCAGTAGAAAGGTATTTGAGAAGGTAAAGGATGTAAAGCCTTCATATTGACGTCGGCAGAGCTATAACCCATCACAAAACTCTGATGATCTGGTTGGGTGGCGGAAGATGGGGCTGGGATTGGGGAATCTCCATCGGTATCCTCCTCATCCTCATCGAACATGGCCCGAAGCTCTGCTATCTCTTGCGATAATTCTGCCCAGAAAGGATTCGATACATATTGACTCTTTCCGGAATCTAATACCAGGCGTCCTATTCCTTCTTCCATGGTAAATGCAGATTTCGGAGCTGCAAGTCCCATATTGAAAGATCTCGTAGCCCATTGTCGTTTTGTGCCCTTTTCTTCGTCCCTTCCATTCAGCCCATTCGTTATAGTTTTCGCAGTTCCACCAGGAGACTCGCTGCTCGATTCAACATTGTTGTGCGGGGAGGAATGGCTGCTTGATGGGGAAGCCTTCGGATTTTCCGCATCCACTTGTCCGCTGAGTTCTTCCACCACTCCTTCCAGTCTTCTTAGTCTCTTTAGAAGTTCCGCTTCTCGATCACTAATAGGCTTTCCTCCGGCCCTGGGGCGTCTAGGCGCTCTACCCGGTGCTGGGAATACGCATGGTGACTGCGCCTTGGTACAATTCGAGCAAGGCACCTTTTTGTCGCATTTGACCTTTCGTCTGCGACATGTAACACATGACCGCGCATTCAGTCCAGTAGGAGCTGCAGTAGGAGCCGACGTTGATGTCCGCCGAACATCATCGGGGTTGCTAGGTGGGACAGTAGGGGGAATCGATAACGCTGAGGGGTACGTAGAATTTGGTGGGTTAGCTATTGCCTGCTGGTTTTGATAGTCTCCGAACATGACTCTTTTGTAAGCGATCACTAATAAAGCACTTTCATCTAATAGACACAAGCTACAGAATTTTAGAAAGTGCTTGGTCCGAAGAGATTAAAAGTGTGGATAGAATTATATGGAAATATTACCAATCGTATGTATGTTGATGTACAAAGACTGTGCGGCCGACCCTGAAGATGTCATTATTTAGGGGTGTTCGCTTTGATGCTGTCAGGCTTGACCGTTTATTTTGCAAGAATCATTAGTGGTAGTGATCATGAATGTTAATTGAATCTAGTTATCTCTTCGACTTCAATTCCTTCTCCCTTGAAGCAATGTTAATAAGGAATATTGTGTAAGTTAAGCTTAACAAGTGAATATCAGATTGGTTTTTTTATTGCTATTGCCAACTCAAAGGATTACCTAGGTACCAAGGTAGATATCATGCTTATTACTCTATCCTATATTTTCTGAAGTCGTTCGGAGATGTGTAGTCTGATAGAACAACGTCGAAGGTTTATTCACGACTAACTTTGACTTTAACAATTAGGGACAAGTGTCAAACCCCCTTAAACTTTATAATACATGATTTCTAACATGTATCCAACGATAATGTATATGGCGTTCTCTTCAGGAAATCCGGTGTAAAAGAGACGACAATATATCACTGAGAAGTCTCGTATTTTATTTGAAGATGACCAAGCAAGAGTTCACAAGCTTACAAGCTGTAGTTGGACGGTAGTTCAAAAATAATGTACAGGTCATACATTGTTCTGCTTCTAGCCTCCGTTGTTTATAAGTGCTTGGCTGTCATGAAAGGGGAGGGGTTTTGAGCGCCTTTTCATACACGGGACCTTTTTTCGCCCGCTATTGAAATTCGATGGCTTGGAGAGATGGTTTATCTGAGTTGTTCGGCTACAGGGACTTCATATACTCCAAAACACCCCACAGTTATAAGCAAATAGGACAGATGGCCGAGTGGTTATGGCGTGTGACTCAAGCTCAACAGCTTAGTTGATTTAATCAATTAGCATTCTCATGGGCTTAGCCCGCGGGGGTTCGAATCCCCCTCTGTTCACCAGTTTTTTTGCATTTTTGTTTGTTGAATGAAAGACAGGACAGTTAGTTGCTGGGGTGCATGGGCGCGGGGCTGGTAAGCCGACTTTTTTCTTTTAAACATGCATGCACGAGGGCTTGAGCAAATGGAACGCGACTAAGAAAAGAGAGGGGAAAATGACACAAGTGCGTTACTCGTTGCTCACTCTGAACTCGTGTTAGTGATATTTATTGAAAGTAGCGGAATCTTGTCTATTTTGGCTGAAATTACAAGTACCGAGAGGGAAAAGGGGCATCTCAGCCGTACTCTTTTAATAGCACGTGTTGTCTGCAAATAGTAAGATGTACTTTGATCCTAATTACTTTTGTTTTACTTGAAAAAGTATCTTCATTTTATGAAATACATACATGAAACCTCAATTCTTATGTCTTTTCCGAGAAAGCCGGTCGAGAGACTTACTCGGCACAAAGGAAAGAGGAAAGAGAAAAGCTATTTTTCTTGACCTCGTATTCTGTACTATCATACCTAATTCAAAGGAGTAACTTTCAATGCCAATGCCCAATTCTAGCCCTTCTAGAATTCAACAGTCCATACATTCCAACTCATTCACTTCCCCTCGATCTTCCATGCGATCTCTATAAATCTTCTCAATCTCCCCACATGGTCCAGTTACGCGTGTTAATTGTGGATACAGCGTGGAGACAAGAATCAGTACCGAGCTTGCACAGCCCTATACATTATGCTCACCCCAGACAATGATATCCCTGCGAATGATGCCCTGATTTTCGAGATTCCAATCATGTCGAAACACCAAATTCGATCAGCAATAAACAAGAAGATCAATGCCATGTCTAGATTCCCGTTTTCTCGCGATGTTGTCGCACCAGTTGCTCATAGTTTCCATCCCATCTCATGCACACAGTCAAACGGTTCTAATATAAGAACAAACCAATAAATCAAATCATATATCTAATACCAACTACTGCTCCTCGAAACTCGAAACAATTTTTGAATATTTCTTTTCCTCCATTACCTAAAATCTCCAAAAGTACTCTCTCAAATATCATAAAAATCATGAATTTCCCTCCAAAGCACAACCCCTATCTCGATCCTACCAATAAACAACACCGCGATTATACCCGTCTAGACGTATCTCACTCTCCAGACAACGTCCCAGACACCCCTTTCAACTCACCCACCGCAATGTCACTCTCAAACTCTGAATCCTCAAGTCCAAATTTCAATCCCTTTTCTCTAAACCAACTCATCATGAACGGAAATGAAACATCCTTATCGTCAGCACTACACCAATCACGAAACTTCACACCCACATCCGCACCATCAGATTGGCGTCCCGAATCGCGGGATCGTGCTGGCTCAACCGGCTCAGAAAGATCGGATATGATTAGCAACAGTAGACAATGCCACTGTGGAAGTGGAGGAATGCAAAAAAGACGCGGTGGTGAAGAATCCGGTCCTCGGTTTGGAAGTTATAGCGACAGTCGTTGTGAGCAGTGCATCTTAGGAGACGAAGATGTGGAGAGGGGAAGATGTAGGACGAGGACGAATTCGAGCAGCTCAAGGGATAAGGCGAGTTGTTCCAGGGAAAGGAAAAGAAGAATGGATCTTTAATTTATGTGTGGTTGGAGGGATATCAAGAGGACAGTCTTGGAAAGATTATACCAACCAATAGTTTATTTGGCTTTCATATATGTTTCCGGCGTTTCTTGACATCCAATGCACGTTTGGATCTTCGCAATTGAACTCAACACGGAGTTCGAATCCTCGAAATAAGGTTGAGGAGGATTCTTGCCAATTAGGTCAAAATTTTACTTTACATTTGAAGACGTGTTTACATTCCTCTACCGTCCCTTGAACGTTGATGAATCAGACTTAATCCTATATTTCAGACAATTTCAAATTAAGAACTCACTCTGCACAATCTAGACACTTGGTCGTTATTTGTGAACGTGCCTTGAGAATTACGTCTGTTGGGTGTTAATGGCGCTTCATGGCAATCATATCAAGTACACATTGGTAAAGAACTCTTCTCCATTTCGGTATTTGGCACAAATCAGGTAATTATACATTTAACGATTAACTTGAGCTATTTCTATGGACGCATCAACCTTAGACGGTCAACCTTAAGAATATACTATCCCATTCCAGATTCGGAACCAATAATACTGACGTGCATCATTTGTCTTTATCAATGATTTCTCTAGACGTCCAAATCGCCTGCCAAAATACGTGCCAGGGTCGTGTGTGAATCGACTACGTACCGCAATTCATGTGTGGAATAGATGGCTCGCGGTCTCGGCCCTGCTGCCCTGATATCTACCAGCAAGATACCATCCGGTGTCATAATTTTACCGTGATATCCAGCATTCCTTATATAAACCATGTCATTTGCCTTGCACGACATGTGTGCCATCACTATTCGCAACAGTTGATCGTTTCCGTCCTCAGAAACTTGTCCTGTGACTTCGAAAACATCCCCGTGATCCATCACACCAGAAGATCGAAAGATGCCATATATATAAAACGGAATTTTCAAAGGGACATGGACTTGTTTCCGTTCCTTTGTTTCTACCGAGAAATAGAAATGGCCTCTGTAAATATTACCAATGTGTTTGCCTCTGGCCCTACACAAAAATATTGCTTTTTTTCCGGTAGAGCAAATTTGGTTTAACAGAGGTTGAATCCCAATACGATCTGCGATCTCGGATACTTTTTTGTTATATATTGACATTAGGTCTTCACGAATACTGCAAATTCGATGCAAGTCGCAGCCCAGGTTTTGAAGAAGCTGGGTGAGTCGATTCTCGAGACGATACTCAAAGGTTCTCTGGGCCATCGAAGAGTCTTGTTTTTGCGAATCAATTAAAGTCGAATATTCTACTTTAATGTTAAAAGTAGAAAGTGCGGGCCACATTCGGCCGATGGCCATATGTACGTCATCGAGAGCTTCCAGAATGAGAGCTGAGACGCCACGTTCCAGGTCTTCGTTCCAACGAATAAGGAAGTAGCTGCGTGAAAGAAGACGATCTCGAAAAGCAGATACCAAATCTCTTTTTCTGTCATTTTCTGTAGTTTCGATACTGACTAAGTGCGATTTAGACAACCGGGGTGTGTCTTGACCCGGCAGATCATTGTGGGAGGAATCCTGGGCTCCAAATGCGTTTGGCACAATATCTTGTTGAGGGGTTTCGACTTCAGACATGGCCGACATCTCAAAGTTTTGCATTGAGCCTGAGGAAAAACCCGTGGGCATTTGTGGATGACTTTGTACTGAGGACTGAGATTGAGTCTCGAAGGAAGTCATGACATCAAGACCAATGGAACCTTGCAATTGAGACAATGGCTGCGATTGGGGTATCAGTTGGAATTGAGATGACTGGACTAGAGGCAATGAAAATAGGGGGGGCTCTGACGATGGTTGTGGCGTTAGATATTGAGACGGGACTTCTTGCTGGACCAATGTTTGCGGCTGATACAGCTGTCGATGTTCAAGAGAATTATGTTGACTAAAAATGTCCAGCCCTTCCTCAAATGGTTGCTGTTGTCGACAATATTCTAGCAATTGAGGCTGGAATGGTCGTTGAGATGGGGGATCTGAGTGACTATTTTGAGAAGGCGGATTATTTGGCGGTATGTAGGCTGGTGGAAAGCCTGTGTAGTTGTCTTGAGTAATGCCATGTTCGTCGTAAGAGTTACTGTTTTGATCGTGCATTATTGCGAGTTGCAAATACAAAAAGTGGTAAGCAAAGAAGTAGCTAAATGTATATGGATTGGATAAGCACTGAGGATGTCTAGAAAAACCAGAAGTGTTTATATTGACTAGACTCGTTTTGTAGAATTGGTGGGAGCTGTTTTAGAGCAATTCCTCTAAAATACGAAATCGGAAGGCACATTTGGACGCCTACCTGATAGTTGCCCTTTCTCTTTTTTGGGTTTGAAGTTGAGAGTTATACACAACTACCCTCTCTATATCCTGGATCAATGCCTGAAAATTCTCGATACTTGACATGGGTATGGAAAAGAAGCGAACCAAATGCTTTCATGATTTAGAACGCAACGAGGCTGAATGACAAATTACATGAAATCAAATTACAGCTGCGCATTTTGAAAGAGAAATCACAACAAGCACAGAGATCACATAGCCTAAGGGGTGTCACGAACAACTGGTAGATTGAAATCGAATCCAGTGACTTACCCACACTTTGCCATTGATCAACTAATCGAGATTTATGCTCAAAATACAATATTTACTTGAGACAAGCCACTGCAAATCAAACTGACGTCTAAACGTTGAAAAAGTAGCTTCCGCTCTAAGATAATCCTCTCGGGCCATGGTATAATTCTCAAAGCTTCAATTTCTCGGCAAACCATTTCTCGGCGACAGCAACCGCATCCTCAATTTTATCAGGGTTGGTACCTTGACCAGTACGAGTTGGCTCTTTTCCACCGGATCGGCCTCCTACAACCTCTGAGACTGCTGCAGCCCATTGCTCCGCACTCACGCCCTTGGAAGCAGCATCCTATGCAGTGTTAGTGACTTTTGGAGGTAAAAAATACGTTTTGCACTTACTGTACCAACATATACACCGTGCACAACAGCACCTTCGTTAGCACTACCTCCAAAAAGATAAACTGTCTTATCCTTCGCCTTAGACTTGAAATGGTTCATAACGTCAGCAATAGCCTTGGAATTTGCAGAGATCGGCAATTGTGCGATATACGCGGTGCTGTCTTTGTTCTTTGAATCAGCAAAATAAGCAGTAACAGTATCCAATGCAGTCTTGGATTCGGCCTTTTGCTTTCTCTTTTGTTCATCAAGGACATCTTTCTGAACCTTGGCAAATTTCTTCTTTAGGTCCTCCTTAGCAAGTACAGAGATAGTGAGGTGGTTCAAGTCATTTTGTGTTGCCTTGACCTCTTGTTCTTTCTCGACGCCGTGAGGCATAGCATCCAAAGCCGCGATACGTTCGCCGAATTCCAAGGCAATTCTTTGCACCTCATGCGCGGCATCACCAGTGTAAGCGATAATTCTTCTGATTCCTTTAGCAATACCGCTTTCCTCGACAATAACGAGGTCCTTGATAATGCCGGTTTGGTCGACGTGAGTGCCACCGCAGAATTCAACACTGACCTTTCGCCATTCTGGATTCTTGGGCTCGGCGAGCAGAACGTCAACTTCGACACCAACAGACACCACTCGAACGGGGTTTGGGTAAGTTTCGCCAAAGACAGCACGTACACCTTCAATGCCCTTTGCAATATCAAGATCAACGTCTTTCGAGTAGATCTTGCAATTCTGCTTGATATAAGAGTTTGCAGAATCTTCAATCTTCTTGAGTTCAGGCAATGTGACTTGAGCTTTATGCGAGAAATCAAATCGTAGTTTCTCTTGGTCAACAAGTGATCCCTTCTGGTTGATATCTTCACCCAAGTGCTCCCTCAATGCATGATTAAGGATATGGGTACCGGTATGGTTATTCCGAATAGGTTGTCTCCTCAATTCGTCGTATTCGCAAATAACTTCATCACCAGCCTTAAAGTCTCCATAGTCCATATAACCATTGTGAACAATGTATCCACCATATGCTTGAGTATCAAGGACTTTGAATTCCGCAACACCATCAATTATGATTTTTCCGGTGTCGAAAACTTGCCCACCTTGTTCAGCGTAGAAGTTTGTCTTATCTAATAAAATACCAAATGGTTTATCATTAGGCAAATCCGCAGTGCTCTTAAGGAAGCTCTTGCCATCGTAAATGAGTTCAATCTTGCCAGTTGAATCGCCCTTCGAAAATTTAGCATCATCGTTGGGTCGAGGAATACCCATGTTGTCCAGCTCGGCAATTTGATGAACATCCAATTTGGCGAAAGTGTGGGCAGCTTCCTTAACGGATTTACTGGCCTCCCTCGCCTTCTCTTTTGCAATCTCGATTTCTCCTTCATCTGTCTCAAGACCACGCTCTTCCGCCATGATCTTGGTCAAATCTTCTGGGAAACCGAAAGTGTCATATAATCTCCATACATCTGCACCAGAAAGCTTCTTGGTGTTCGTCTTGATAGCTTGAGCGGCATATTTCTCGAACATCTTCTCACCACGATCTAATGTTCTAGCGAAAGCCTCTTCCTCTTCATCTAAGATTTCCTTCACATCTTGTTGCTTTTTTACAATTTCGGGAAATTGCTCGCCCATTTGTTCAACAAGAGCTGGCAGGATCTTGGAGAAGAAGCTACCAATTTCGGCATTAAAGTATTTTCGAGCATAGCGAGATCCTCTTCTCAAGACCCGGCGTACAACATAACCGCGTCCCTCGTTGTTGGGAACACCTCCATCTGAAATGGCGAAAGTGAGTAAACGAATATGATCAGCAATAACACGATAAGCAGTATCGATCCCATCAGTATCATCCTTTCCGTATTTGTCGGTGTAAGGTCTGGCGTTTGTGACCTCTTGAATCTTGGCAAATAATGGCGAGAACACATCTGTGTCATAATTCGATGATTTATCTTGCAATACCGAAACTAAACGTTCGTAACCCATACCAGTATCAATATGCTTAGCTGGTAGAGTCTTCAAAGATCTATCCTTCTGGCGATCGAATTGGATAAATACGATGTTCCAGATCTCCAATACGTTAGGGTCATCTTGATTAACAAGGTGAGCAGCATTGCGTCCTCCCCCTATTCTGTCGTAATGGATTTCACTACAAGGTCCACATGGCCCTGTCTCTCCCATTTCCCAGAAATTATCTTTCATGTTTCCTGTCAAGATATGATCCTCCTTGACTCCAGCCTTCAACCATAAGTTCTTGGCCTCTGTGTCCGCTGGGACATTATTCTCCGAATCTCCTTCAAAATATGTAACGTATAAGCGATCTGGATCTAACCCGTAGACCTTTGTAAGTAACTCCCATGCCATTCCAATAGCATCTGTCTTGAAGTAGTCGCCAAACGACCAATTTCCCAACATCTCGAAGAAGGTCTATGACTCACATGTTAAAGCTGCTCGAATCTGGCATATCAAAGTGTCAACTTACATGATGGTAACTATCTTTTCCAACATCATCAAGATCCTATAAACCATCAGATCATATACTTTCCATCCCCGAGTCAGATAGCCCTACGTTATGTTTTCCTCCAGCACGGATACACTACAACTCCGTTAGCGCAACCCTACGATAACAGCAGCAACACAACCATCTACCTTCTGTGTATCCACCGCTCTCTTTAATTGTGCCATATCATCGGTCTTGCCCACCGTGCCGAGGAAAATCGGCTTGAACTGATTCATACCAGCATTCGTAAAGAGGAGAGTGGGATCATTGTGAGGGACCACAGAAGATGATGGTACTGCATCTTGTTAGAATAATGGCTTGAATAGACGTTTCAAACAACCGCAGACAGGCGCCATGGCTGCATAGGAAGTATAGTCCCATTTAGATGAAAATTGTGGTTGAAATTCCCCAGAGAGCTCCCCTTCACCAAAAGGAATTACCCGCCACTTACCGACAGAATGAGCATTCTTTTCAAAAAAGCTTAAGAATTGTTTCCTGACCACCGGGGCCGTCCATTTCGTGGTATCTTTAGTGCTCGCCATGATTCTCGACGTCCCAGAAAATTTGCGATATAAGGTTGTGTTGTAAGAACTTATCGAGGTGGTGTGCGAGTTGAACAAAGAAAGTCGTGTCGTCTCTGGTTCGTAGAATATTCTCGAGCAGTGACTCAGTGGACCTGGAACTCTTGCGACGTTCAGATTCAATCTTCCACGCAACGCATTCATTCGCTCAATTCTATAAGAATACAAATTCCCCTAGAAAAGAAAGACTTTCAACTGACAGTTGTTCTTCTGTTCATACAGATTGACATTTATTTTATCGTGCACATATTAAGTAACAGAAAAGAAGTTTTGTGATTAGGGGAGGGATGGGTCGTTAAGATGGATCAAGCGACAGGTATTAGGAAGAGAAAGGCAGAAACACAAGACAATGAACGACTCTCCAAACGGATGAGCTTGCTTAATCTTGGTAAATATCCTACAATAGTTTATCCTATCTCTATTGAAATGCACGAGGTTCACAGGCTAACAATATTCTAGAGCGCAATGGCCAGAAACTCTACGTTCCAGTTGAGCAACCCACCTTAAGCTCAGATCTACCGACCACCAGCTCTACATTTACTACCAGCGATCATAAACCCATCAAACCGAAAAGAAGACAACAGCAAGATGCAGATGATGTAATGCAACTAGACGATTCCAAACACAAAGTCTACATCTACGATCTTGACGATGAGCTATCAGACAGTGACGCCTCCGATGATGGACGGCTAATATTTCTCCCCGACATATCCAAACATCTGCGAGAAACACGGATTCCACCTCACATTCTCGCAAACAAAGACGGACAGCTGGCCGGGATGAGTAATCAGCTCATCTTATACGATACAGCTGTTCCGAGGAATCACAATGTCCCCGAGGAACAAGATTTGGTGCGGAAGGCATTTCTGGAGGCGAGGGAGAAGGCTAGAGCTAAATGGGACGAGAAGGCAAGGCTGGAGGAGAAAGGCGCAGATGGAACGGTGGGTGAAGTTGTACAAGATCGTACCGATACAAATAGTATGATTGGAGGGGATACTGACGTAGAAGATATGAATGTGGAAGCTATAGAAGATGATCCTGATGCTATGGACCTTGGATAGTGTCCAATGCTTCACTTAGTGGTGTGTAAGACTATGTAATGGGTAATAATATATTTTGAATTTCAGCATCTTCTATTGTTCTATTCCGGATAGTACATTTATTCACAATGATTTCTCATGAAAGCTGATCCCTCTTTAATTTCAATCTCTTCACCAACAGTATTAAGCATACCCAAACACTAACATTCATTAAACATCCCTTTACGACTAACCTCGAAATGGATTGTTGCCCGCTCCAGTATTGTTTGTTTGGAGATTTGGAGGAGGTCCAGGAGGTGCCTCATAACTGGGAGCAGACTCTCCACCATCATCGGCTGGACGTCTTGTTGGTTCTGATCTCCATTGCGACGGATCGACTTTAGTCGCTCCAGCAGGTGGTTGATATGTAGGTGGTAATGGCGCATTCGGATCATACATTGGCGGTGGCATAGGGTGCATGCCATATTGTCCCCCTGCCGCTGGAAATTGATTGTAATATACGTTAGGGGTCTGGTAGGCTGGGTCATATTGTGCTCGTTGTCGTCTGTTTAGCATCCACTACTCATTGTTAGCATTGCCCTTTCGTACAATCTGTTGAAAGCTCCTTACCCTATGATATGCCAACGGTTTCAAGCCCTTTCTTATTCTTCTCTTCGCATGCCAATATCCGATAATAATCCATAGCATAAAAATGATGAACAGCCCCCAGAATACTGACCATCTGATTATTTGTCCTTTCTATTGACCATTATTAGTATATAGCCCAACTTTCTATGTCAACCAGCAAACAAACCTTGGTGAGCCAAAAAGGAACTTCATCACTTTCAAAACAATTACCATATCTGTCACATTCGATGGTCTCGTTGGCCGCCCGCTGCGTATTCATTGACAAGTCGCCGTCCATTTTTGCGATTAATATCCCAATTATCTCGTCCCTGTAACCACAATGTATGAAATGGTATCGTATAATAATATCTCCCGTCCGTCCGCTATCGTTTGGTTGTAGAAATTAAGTTAGACAAAGTACCAAAACCAACACTCAGGACTTCCTGCTCCAGAGAAGTACTCCAGAAGTACCCAAATCCAACGAGGCGGTGCTTGGGTCTCTTTTACACGGTAATCTCAATACCCGGCTTTCGAGTTTCATGCGGTGTTACAGAAGCGTATTCAATACCAAGACTTCGTTTGAGATCTAGGGTATTTATTCAATGAATATCGATTGCGACTCGCGAGCTGCTTTTAAATCACGACTTCAGAGTAAGTAGGAAATGTGAGACAAGAAAAGTAGGATACGTCGCAAGCACGAAAGATGCCCGAACGAGAACCTTATACTAACAACATTACATATATTTGGTGGCTTGGAATACGGCCAAGATCCTCCGGTTTATGGTCTCACCTGCTAATTTCCATACAAAAATACCTCAGTGATCATCCTTTCTATCAATATCAAGGACATGATTCGTTTCTTCCAGATTAGTCATCTAAATTAGCTCCAGGTACCGATGTGCTAGTTGCAGCGTGGCTGGAAACGTAAAAGTGTGGCTGGTCCGGAAAACTAGGATGTTTCCGCACCGTTGTGGAAAACACGAAGCAAAATGCTTGAATATTTTAAAGTTGAGTGAAGTCAAAGAGATTCGCATCGATAACGGTTTGCTTCATAAGAAAACTTACTGTACGGATTCATGATACGGCATTGGTATGGAAAGACTTTGTTGCGATGAAATTATGGACTTCACGGGGAAAACTAAGATCCGGGAAGGATGTGCGGATCAACTAAAGTATTACACAGAAAATACCATTACTATATTCCTATTACTACCCATCTATAGGACACCTGAATTCCCTTCCATCATGAATCCCATGCCTTGTCGCATTATCATCGGTTTGTATTGCCTCCAAACAAGCCCGATGATAAATATGTCTACAAGCAAACACCACTAGTGGTCCTAACTCCTGCTGACCCTTGTCATCATTATCATCATTGCCACCCCGTTGACCATTCAATTCATCTCGAGGCCCTGCTACCGATTCTTCATCCATGCTCTTTTCTTTACCTTTGCCATTCCTGTTTCCACTACTATCATCGTCAAACTTTGGTAAACTATCACTTCTAGCTGGAGCTATACCCTTTCCTCGTTCAGGAGCACCTCCGCTCAAAAGCATTCGTCTTTTCTGTCGCTCCTGTTCTTCCACTTCTTGTCGTTCTTCCCACTGAGAAAACACATCACCCGAAACACCAGGCCCCCATGCCCTTCGACCACAGCCCTCACAAGTGGAGCCTCGCGGTCTCCATCCTCTTTGACGAAGATTGCTAACGGACTGCACATTGACGAAGAGATCTTTGTCGAGTAGTCGATTCGCTAAGCTCAGAATGCTCTCCTCATAAGCATATGCTGAAAATACTGAAGCAAGTACGGCGCGCAAATCACTGAGGTTGGGAGACGAAATTGATGCCTTCGTCAAGAATGCTCGTAAGATACGCAAGAAAGATAAGTTTTCACCGAAGGAGGTTGGCGTTGATGTCGAGGTTAGGAGGGCTGTAAAAGTTCGCTGGACAAGAGTACGGAGTTGAGTGGTGAACTTCTCACGATCCACTTCATTTGAAATTGATGCTTTTGCGTCGTCCAGGCCTGGAGACAGTGTGCGGGTAATTTGTACCGCAATGTCTATAAGGTCTAGCCAAAGCACCTCTTCAGGAAGAAGTTCGGATTTTCCGGAAGACTTTCTTTTACTCGGAGTTCCGTTTATATGGTTTGATTGCGTTGACGTTTGGCTTTGACATAACCAGATTCCTACATTAATATATTTTTGAAGCGCAGTGAGAGTATTTTCCACGGCTTCGCTTGCATTCATGGATCTCGTAGCATCAGCCGATGCGAAAAGAATACCCGTCAGAGTAGCCTCTAATATCCTTAGATGTTCTATCAGTCGATCCATACCAGCTCTAATTTGACCTTCGCGAGCCATCAAAACGACAGCAGCATCGACAACGCCGCTCTCTTCCATGTAAGGTAATACTTTCTCGAGTCGGAGATCAGATGATTGCACTAATTCAACGTAATCCACCACATGTTGAGCGTCATATTTACACATAAGCTGAACATATTGCTCGGTGAGTTCACCAGGGGGTGAGCGTTTGGGGCTCTCTTCTTGGCCAGCTGCCATTTCCATAATGCTGTGCAAATAGATATACTGTACCTCTGACAGTTCGGGAAAAGAGGCCAACATCTTTTCGTGGAGAGTAGGAGCATAGTTCTGGATCGTCAGGGCAGCGTTTTTAGCATCGAGCCCGACCAGATCACTTGCATGCTTCTCAATAACTTCATGCACCTCTCGAACTTGTCGCTTGGTTAACCCAGAACGAGGTCTTAGGCAGTCAGCGATACAATCGAATATTTTTTCTCGATCCTCGGGATCATCAAAGTACGCCTGAACGAGTTGGCTGTATTGTTTGTCTGATTTATATATGCTTTTCAGAACTCGATAAAAACCTGCCTTTTGAAACAAAGGCATTAATGAGGCTAGATCAGTCGGATGGTATACTGATAATAGGTATTCTGCACTGAGCTGGGCATCATCTGCAAGATCCTCGCCAGGATAATTACACAAGCCTGTCAAGACTTTGTGCAGAGATGTCCCAGAAAGCAATAAATACTGAGGAAACTTCGGTAAGTTTCGAGCGATGAACATGTCCAAATAGATAGTATCTTCTGATGCAAACTCATTGGCATTCATCACCTCTAGGAGTATCGTGACGATATATTGTCTGTTAACGGAAAGGCCAAATACATGCTCCTCCGACATATCACGATTTGAGCCACCATTGACAGCACGATCCGGAGTATCATTAAGGAAAGAGTCCTCGAATGCCTCGTTCAAAGCACTGAGAAAGCTCGGTGCGTCAAATTTAAGAACCGTTCTTAAGTAAGGAAAAGAAGGCTCGATATCTTCGTTCGGTTTTGTTAAGAATGGTTTGGTATTTCCTTTTGGCCAAGAAATTGTTTTTCCCGAGAAGAGAAACCAGTAGAGTTCAGCTTTAGCATTCATAGCTTCTTGATCCTCAAGTTGATCCCCGGTAGGATAAACTCGGCCTGTAAACGTATATGACATGTATGGAAACATTTTCAATGCATTGACACCAAAAATGGAATCTTCCGTCACGTTCCCATCGTATAGAGATTCGCCATTTTGAACCAGGGGAATCAATAATGTGAGAAGATCAATGAGAGGGGTTATGTAATCGTGCAATGCTTGGTTCCAGACGTAAATGAGGGCATCGTAGAGATTGTGCTGTTTGCAAAGCGTAGTGACTTCGTCAATATCTAATGTTGCCGTATCCATTTGGCAAATCATCTCTTCCAAGCGACTTTCGAAGCCTTTGCCAACGAAGTAGGAAACCATGGATTTGACCACAGTGGGTGGTATTGAGGTAAGACGTTGTTCCAATATGTACTGTTCTAGAACCTCGAGGAAAATACCCTCCGAACCTCCATCCTCGTACCATTCAAAAGCCTCATCGAAGAGGAAATCTATATCGTTGATACTAAGAGATGCTTCGAAGCAAGCTTCAGCCAATTGCTTGAGGTGCTCATCTGTAGCAGCCGGGTATCTTTGTCGCTGACCGAAAGCGAATTTGAGAGAAGCAGTCATAATCTCGACCAATTTGTCTTGTACCATAGAATGTCGTAACGTAGTATCCTCCGGTAGTCCAATGGTCAACTTATCTGCATCACCAGTATAGTAGGATGTCGCCAATTGAATGGCACCAATATAATCACCATCTTCCATCAATGCGATTAGTCGGTCTGCCCAATTCGATAGTGTTCCTATTGATACATCATTGAAGCCAAGAAGAAACATTCGACTCTTGTAAGCTTTGAAGCTCATATAAAATGCATCTGCAACAACACCATGCATAGATGGGTCTTCTTCGTCCAATTGCTCTACCAAGGTATGCAGTTGTTCGGAAAACAAATCTTGGTGAAAGATATGTTTGTGTACTAAATCGAATGCTTCAGTCATTCGCATACTTACGTCTTCCAAAATAATCAGGCGTTGTGTAATCGTCAATACTGTGAGAACGGATCGACTAAGCCACTGAACGGCAACAATAGCTTCTTCCGCCCTCCAGCGACTACGAGGTTTAAAGGATAGACTGGGGGGTTTATCTTTGTTGTCAGATGGTGTTTCTTCCACATCCAGCACAGTTAAAATATTAGACCAACAATATACCAGCTTGACTTTAGAACTCTGGCTGCCATCATCAGGATCTGGAACCTTCAGTTTTACTGCAGGAAACCATGCGAGGCAACCACTCATAGCGCTGTGGGCAGCGACCTCTTTTGGTCGAGCAGCTTTATGTTGAGTTTGAGCGATTGGAGTTGTGGATACAATTACGAGTAGATAAGGAGTCAACATGGCAGTCAAACCTAGAGTATCAGTTCCTTTCTCTACATTTCCAAGCGGGAGAGGTGAGAAGGCCAAGACAGTGCTTGGTTTTCGAGGCTTCCCGGAAGTGCCAATATCATTTGGATATCGGCCTAATATCCTAGTGGTTCGGACTGTTCGTCCAACAGCACCCATACCTCTGGTTGCAAGATGCGAAAAGGCCATTCCACGATCATCTGCTGACACAAGTGCCGTATGTCTAGTGCCCAAGAATCCTAGATGTCGAATCGCAATGTTTGGAGCATGGCCATCAACACTGCGGTTCGCTAATTGGAAGGGTTCGAGCGATGGAATATGGAGAAATGGGCGGGCTGGTCTTGCGGTTTCCCACGTGAAAATACTACCATTGGCATGACCACCAGCAACCACAAGGTGATCAGCAGATATGGCAATAGAAGTTACGGCGCCAGATTCAACAGCTGTGATGGTCAGTTATAGAGCTAGAACACAAATGTTGAATCTTGGATGCTTACCCTTTGTACCCGGTCCAATTATAGATTTGAGATTTTGATGGTAGTCAAAAATTAAAATTACTCCTTTCGATGTGCCTAGCACTATAGATGCAGAAACTGCTATACATGTTGTTGTACCAAAATTACGCTTGCCAACTTCAGAAAATGCTTGCCCGCTAAGTTTCTTCAATTTTGTCCACCGCACAACCTCCCAAGGTGGAGACGGTGTATCTGTATCTCCTGCATCTTGTAGCATCTGACTATTAATTGAAACCTGCCGCGAATGTGGTCTCATGAAACCAGGCGAACTAGAGCGAGGAACATTTAAGGATGATATAGAAAGACGCGAGGAGAACCGGCGGTCGAATGGTCGAAACGATGGAGTAGGACTATCGAGGCCCGGCCTGGATGCGACTGATGGTAATATGCCACTTCCGGCAGGAGAAGACAACATGGAGCCCTACCAAATATTAGCAATCTTCTATTGCCTTCGTGACTTATCCTACCTGGACAGAGGGAGAATCATCTGGAATAGATAAGACTGAGTCTATGGGACTACTGACCCTCCGAGGAGGTGCTCCCACAGATCCATCCTCGGATGCATTCTCAGAATCTTGAGGCTGCTTGTACTTTGTACCATTCCCCAGCTTCTGCGGCGTCAAGGTGCCCTCATCTCTCTCTTCTCGTAGCAGCTCAGAAATCCGACCTCCAGCCAAATGCTCTGCATCTTCTGCGTCGATGTCCTGTGATATATCTGCGAATCCATTTCCGAGAACATCATGTTCATCAACCGTGTCTTCCTCCGCACCAGTACTGTTTTCCGAAGGAGGGGTCATCGAGACTACCTGCTCTGGCGCATCATTCCACAGCTTAACTTGTTTGCGCCGCAGTCCGTGGACTCTCGCAGAACTGGTTTCTCAGACCAACATTTAGTACAAACCAATTTTAGAAGCGTCGTAATTTGGTCCTTTGCGAAATGTTATCGTAATTGTGTTGAAAGGGCTGGTGAGCTTTAAGGTGGTGTTTGAGATCCTATGTAATAGCTTCAAGCTTGTGATAGGACAAGTCGCTTACAACCGGCGACAATTATTTTCTTGCACTCGCGACGTTTAATCTCTATTACAAAGTCAAGCATTCACAGGACAAGTCAAATCAACTGCAAGTGATGAATTAAGTGCTGATTGATTCGTGAAGATAATCGCTCAGGCACGCAACCTTCTCAGATCGTGTGGCACGGCTCGGAAATAACTATCCAATTGGATCGTGGTTACATAAATATTGAAGTTAACCATCCTCACATCCTCTTTCCACAACATACACTTGTGATCATACTCGACATTTCATAACTCAAAAACGTGATTTACTGAATACAATCATGCCTTCTGTAGGCCCCGAACTACCTCCCCATCTTCAAAAACGAAAGCGCTCAATTGACGATTCCGAACTACCTAATTCACCACCGCGCAAAATACAAGCAGCAGCTCCACCACAAGTTCTTGGTCCCTCTCTGCCACCTTCGACAAATCCAGATGAAGTCAATATAGATGGTAGCGATGATGATGAATATGGCCCAACTATTCAGACCTCCAAGCCCAAGAAACCTCAATCTCCACCACGAAGAGTTATAGGACCCTCTGCACCACCGAAACCTACTTCTCCACGCATCACAGGTCCTTCCCTACCTTCGAAAAACCCAGATGAACTCGAAATTGCAAGCTCAGACGATGACGACTCATATGGCCCTTCGATTCTCAGTCAGCGAAAGCCATCCCCGCCACCAAAACGCGTTTTAGGGCCCGCTCCTCCACCTGCTTCCCTCTCAGAACGACCTTCATATCCAGCGAATTCAGATTCAGACAGCGACTCAGACTACGGCCCTTCCCTCCCTCCTACAGCAGGAAGTGCGGCCGCCATTGCTCTCGCATCTCAGCAGGCGCGTGAAGCCCAGGCCGCGGCCGCTAAATCAAATGAGCCCGCAAAACCCCAACGTCCAGACTGGATGCTTGCCCCGCCCACTTCCTCCGACTGGACCACCAAGATCGATCCTACCAAACTGAAAGCGCGCAAGTTTGCAGGAGGCAAGGGCTCCAAAGCACCGGCTGAGAAGACCGGCGTATCTGCTATCTGGACTGAAACTCCTGAAGAAAAGCGTCAACGACTTGAGGATGCGGTTTTGGGCCGTCAAGAATCCGCTGCTTCTACTAGTAATGGATCTGCGCGTACATTAGCTGAGAGTAGAGCAGCGGAGGAGACTGATAGGAGGGTTAGGGAGTATAATGCTAAGAATAGGGGGAAATCTCTATATGAAGCGCATGCGGAAGGGAGCGTAGTAGGAGGAAAGGGAAAGAAGGAGGAAGAGGATGACCCAAGTAAGAGGGGCTTTGATAGAGAAAAGGATATGGCATTGGGGGGACGATTGGGACATGCAAAGAAGAAGGAATTGCTGAATAAAGCGGCGGATTTTGGCAGTCGATTTCAGAAGGGTAGCTATCTGTGATGCGGCGTGGTTGAGCCAAGAAGGCCATGAAACCGGGGCGATGATCTAGGATTCAAGAGAATGCAGTGCATGATAGAAGCTGCTCACATAATCTTTACGCACACAAAGATAGATACCCAAGTTTGGCTGTTTGGACCAATAGAGGTCGGTCGCATCGATATTAAATACTCGGTTTCTATTGCTTGCTTTGCTTTCCTTTTCTACGCATGAATACATACTTTCATAAATCTTGCCACCCACCAACCTCTGTCCTGATATTTCTATAGAATGAACCCGTCGCCATGATAGTTTTCATAAACAAAGAACCCACCACCATATCTCAAATCGCATCATGTCGTGTCAAGTCATGTCATGCCATATATCATACATCCAACCCTAGACGCACGACTTCATCTACCTACCAAACCTCCTAATCTCCAACCACCTCAACCCACAATACGATAATGCCGAAAACGCAAAAGCCAGCTCAAATCCGACATCTCCTCCATACTCCGCACCACAAAGTTTCCCAATCGGCCCCGTGAACCACACCTGCGCCATACCCAACACCGCGCCCATAACCCCCAAAAGAAAGGCCACCATGGCAGCTATGCCCGGCGGCAACCGACTCGCATCCATGTAATTCTCGGGTCTATATCCCTGGAATCCCTTTTTAAAGAAAACATGTTCCGAGAGTGCGATTCCCTCATATATCGCTAGCCAGTAAGCGATCACGAGCATGAAATTCTCCAGCACCGCTTCGAAATTTCCGTACCCCGGAATGGCAATTGCGCAATAGATGAGTGTTCCGATGAAGGTCCACACGAAACGTGGTACGCGTGCGGTGGCTGAGGAAAGCACTTGCAGGGAGAGAGACACGGAATAGATGTTCGGACAGTTGTTGGCGATGATGGAGAGAGCGAGGATGACGATACAAAATTGTCCGAACTTGCCAAGTGGGGGGATGAGAACTGAAGAGAGAAGTCCTCCGATACCTGAATTGGTGTACTTGCTCATGAAGACGTTGTCTCCTCCGTTGCCAGCCATAGCTGTAGCGACAGCTGCGCCCAAGATTTCGGTGAATAGGAGGGGAAATATCAAGCCGGCGAATGTCCAGAGGAAGATAGATTTCCGACTGCGGTTGACAGGTTGATATACGGTGTAATCTGCGGCGTAGCTTGTCCAGCCCGTGGCAAATCCAAAGATACTCGCTGCGAAGGAAAGACAGGCTCCTGTTTCGGATTTACCCACGCTCATGGGAGTGTTGATGAAGTTACCACTATGGGCAAATTCTCCAAGCACAATGAGGAAGATTATGAGACAGGGGATCCAGGAGTAGCGTTCATAAGTGTGGACGATTTTGTAGCCAAAGAGGGTTACAATGAAGGTAGCTGCTGCGATGACTATTATGCCTGCCCAACCTGGCATGCGTGGGTTCACAGCGTTGAAAAGTTGCGCCCCGACTATAACATTTACGGCAGACCAGCCAATACATGCAAGACAGTTGAAGATTGCAACTAGAGAAAATTAGCATGATTTTTCGATCAGAACTCGATGATGCTATGCATTTAGAGAAAAGGGAGGCAAACTCACTAATCTTAACCCCATACCATCCAAAATAAAACCTACTCAAAACCATCTGTCTCAACCCAAACCTCGGTCCAAACATTGAGAAAAACGCAACTGGTACCACCCCCAGCAAGTTCACAAACAGAATAATCAGCACCGTATCCACAAATCCAAGATGAAAAACCGGATAGCTCAATGCCCCAAGTGCAAAAGACGACACAACCAAGTTGGCCGATAGCCATAATGTGCCTATCTGGCTCATACCAGCAGTACTGCGCTCATCGCTTGGAACGCGTTCAATACCGCGGGACTCGACGCCGAAACGACTAGTATAGCGATGAGCTTTGGCATACCAGGTACTCCCTTCTTGGAGAGATGAACTGTGAATGGCGATTTCTTTGGAGTTGAGGGGATGGTCTTGGTCTGAGGAGGTTGTAGTGTAGGTTTGGGCGATTTCGGGGTCGTAGACCCTTTCTCTTGTGAAGGGCATGTTTGAGAGAGTGTTGTTATTTGTTATTCTGTTTGGTTGGGGGATATGGGGAGAAGGTTGAAGGAAGTCTTGCTCCTTTTATCTCTGTCTGGACACGTGGAAAGACTTTGACAGCCCCCAAAACTTCCAGGTATCAATCTCATAGGCTGTGCTATGCTAATAGAGGCTAATCTTAGATATTGGGTCTTTATGGGGCTTGATTTCCGTACAGGTGATTCAGTGTAAGTGAATTACCATTCAACTTTCAGTCAACCTTGGAACTCCTCTGTGATTTATTCAATTCAAACGTCCGAGAGCCAGTAGATGAAAAAATCACAGTATCTCTCTCCTTTCATCGATCATCATCTGGGATGTTGGGACAGGATTGTATGATTCACAGAATCTCAAGTTTACCAGCTCTTTATATTCAAATGGAGAGGACAATGTGGAGCATGAAGGTACCACCGAGACCGACCAACGGATACTTGATGCCGCTGATTTCCTGCCAGGAAGTTTCAGATAGGAATTCAATGTGAGTGATTGCTAGATATTGTAGGATGACAGATTTTCTGTAGCAAACAAATTGACCTCCTGCGGGAAAGTAGGCGATGCCGAAATGATATTGCGGAAAAGAGAATCCTTAAGTAGCGGAATAAAAACGTAGCGAAGTTATTTCCAGAATAGTATACGTAGAAGAAAAGAGCAATCCAACTACCAGGCCTTTAATACAAACAATTGGAAATAAACTTTATACAAGGTACTCCAGGGACGCGATCCCAAGTCACTTACGCATAAAACAGCAGCTCAAAATGATAAAGTTACTGATTACTGCAAAGTGTATGCAGTACCACGGTGAGAACAATAGTAGAAAACACTCCATGGATTCTGCATTGCAGTGTGCATATCGGGTTATACGACAGCTTTGTCGGTGGCATTTTCCTAGGGGAGAATATTGAAATGGGTTTCTGGGCCGATGTAGTTAGAATATGATTTGATGGTTTGTGTAACGTTTATTGGTAAGTCAATAAGCTTTGTGAAAGCCACCGAGGGGTGCAGGCTAGGCTTGGGTTTGTCTCACTATGATGACTGTTAATGTGCAGAGGTGTGGATGAAATGAGCTGATGCTTAGAGGGGATGAGAAATAATGAGAAGAAAACGGGATACGGAAAGATTAATGGCATAAGCCATATGGAGGAAGTACCGAAAGCTTCATAAATGCTTGTGACCAGACCAGATGCTCACTGAAATGCTTGTCTTTCCCCAAATAAATCCTATTCACATGTACCAACCAATCGCTTCAAATGATAGATTAGTTGACACCTTCTAGTGTGCGAGCGGAAAGCATAACCGATCGGAACTGTCCGGATGTACCAAATGAGTTAGAAGTTCGGCGTTTGTTTTTCTTGTGCAACGGTCTGATGTAAACTTTCTTCTTTCTTCTGACAGCTAGGGAAGTGGCGCCAAGGTACAACTGATTGGTCGGAACCTGTATGTTTCAGCTAATTTTATGCTCCTGTTCCCCCCTCACCTTACCTACACATTCAGACATTCTCTCATTTTAGCGCACGAAGCACCAAATATAATTTCACAGCATCGCTATTAGAGATACAATTCTCCGATCTTCATCTCATAACCATCCCGTCTCTCACAACCTCAGTTCTTCTGCACTTATCCGAGCGGTTTTCGTACCCTTGGAATCTGCACCTTTCCGTGACAGCACATCCACCAGACCATTGCACGAGTATCCCACGTGCCTTCCAAGCCTTTCGCTTTGGTGGAGGGGTACTGCGCCTTTCCGATCCTAGGCATGCGGGTTGTTAGCATGGGAATGCATGTCTCATCTGATGTATTTATTGTCTATGATGCTCAAATCTAGTGGAATTGGGCAGATAGCCGATTTTGGGGGGGGGTGAGATGAAATTGAAGGAGATTTTTGGAAACGCTCAAACGAATGAGATGTATGCAATGCCCCTAATATCATACGACCAACGGGAAGGTGAACTTGATATAAGAAGGCAATGCAACGTTTCAATCAACGTTTATCTCGGATGCGTTTCATGATTTGCGCATCAGAGATACCAAAGGGGATAAAGCACGTGTTTCTGTGGTGCGGACATGTCAATGTCAAATGCAGTTCATTTTGGACGTCAGTTGTTCCTTGAATTGCATGCATTGTAGCGGTCAAGAATGTCATTTCAAGGTTCCCCTGTCCAAGGCTTCGATGGCTTGCATGGATCGCGAATTGATGTAGCAAATTCTGCAGCTAGAGAACTTCCCTTGTAATAGCTGAGATCGAAATCACAGCAATACCAAGACATTGAGGCTGAAAATCAATACTTCAGATACTTTGCTGCTCATTGCTTGGGTTGAAAGTGTAGCCTCGCCTCCTCGGCGAGATGACGAGGTGCCATGACTCCGTATTTAGACTCATCATTCTCCAACCAATAGTCGTGTATGACCCCTCTCTTCACGTTAGTCCTTTTCACTGTAACCTTTCCCGAAATTATCCTCCAGAACAAAGCTTGTACCTCAAGAATCATCTCCTCCGCATCTACCGCATACGTCAAGTGGCCACAAGCAAGTCGTACTCTTGGTGCCGCTGTCTCGCTCGATTCATGTAGCCTACTGAGTTCAGAATTTCGATGCTTTGCGAAAGATGAGAGTAAGTCAAGTGATGTCATGTATTGAATCCAATTGCCTCCCTCTTCCGGAAAGATTATCGCGGCTTGAGTAGAAGGCAGACTAGGGTTTTGATCTGCCTCATCTGGAAGCTCGAATATGACGGGATATCTGTGTCTTGTGTAGAGAGTATCCCCAACAAACAAATATTGTTCTTCAATATCATACCAGGCAAGTGAGTCGGGTGTATGCTAGCATAGAGAATTAGTAATCGCACATCAAGGAAGACTTTCGGAAAGAAGGAGGGAGCGGTAAATGAAACATTCAAGTAGAACTGGACATAGCAGAGGATGATATGAAATGGTCGATCGAGCTTACGCCTGGGATTTGAATGAACTGAATGCGGAAATGGGTGTTGTGCATCGAAAAGTACTCCAGCTGACGAGCCCAATGTGACACTTTGTAATTCGGTGTCGATACGTTCATATATTGACAAAGAGAGCTCGTCGGCAAATCTTCGAGGATGAAAGATTTACCATTCTCCGAGGCTACAATGGTAGGGTTTGTCGACAGAAACTCTGGGAGACCAAGAATATGATCATAATGACAATGAGTGCAGATTATGATATATCGCTTCTCGCCATTCGGATTTAAACTCTGATTATTGAAGGATAAAATGGGGTATTCTTCGATGAATTTGCGTAGTGATGTAAGTTTGATTGTCCTGTCTCGAGGCGAATTGCATCCCGTATCCGTTATGATCACGTAATTGAAACCCAATTTAACGTAGATATATGGTTGTTCTCCATACGAATCATCCTCTGAGATAACAAAGGTAGAAGTATTTAACCTCCTGCTCACAAAGCTTGTTGAACTTAAGCTCAAGTCACCTGCAGCCATCATTGTAAGATTTCCAGCGACGAGAATAACAGGATGTTGTTTTCTATAACTCCTGTTGAGGAAGGAGAAACTGATGTGTTCAGGTTAGAGATAGCTCGCATATCAAATCATAGGTAGCCGTTATTCTTGTTGTAGACCAGTTCTTCAAGACTGTTTGTTTCGAAGGAAAGCAGTGAGATGTGTAATAAGTTTATCAGACGATGATTTACTCGCCGACTTTACGAAAGCCCATCCTGCGAGTTGTGATTATGACATCATCTAATCCTTCCATTTGTTATTTGATAAGGCTACCTAGCTATCCACATTGGCGAGGCCCAAAAGATATGAGATAGTAGGTAGAAGTAAGAAGGCAGCAGATTTGATGCTGGATTTGAAGATAAGGTTGAAAAGATACGTCGTGGAATGCATGTGCCTAGCTAGGTGTCGTAATCAGTTTCAAGTACCCGTCAAACGTGTTTCGAATCTTCACTAGCTAGATAATAATATCATAAACAATATAATAAAAGGTAAGTTAACTATAGGCAATCGATTTAAAGTTACTCGTCGTTTGTTTGTTGTAGAGTCAGTTAATCATATGTTCTTTCGTAAGCAGCCTCGAGGCACGTGCTAGATATATCAAAAGAGTGGAGTGTGCGGATCTACCTGTCTGTGCGTAATAAAGGTAGCAGTGCAGTGCAGTGCGTAGATAATCCGATCTTGGTGTGAAATGCATTTTCTTTCGGAGTATTAATTGTACTAGAGAGTCACGTGGGAGTCTCGAGGGAGTCTAACCAAATACCTACTTCGTACTATCTAATTGCAACTCTAGAAATTTTCTCTGTTGTTCTCCGATATTTATCGATATGCGATGGATTTCTTACTAAATTGGATACTTTTCGAATTTTCACGGAATAAAACATTTATTAGCAGACGTTAGTGCAAGGTACTGGTATCTAGGTACTGACCTGGGGAGATGTTCAGAACATTCAAATATTCCCTCACACGAAATCATACAGCCAAAGGCGTATCTTCTCCGACACATGACTCAAAAGTGGCGATGGTTCAAAGGAACAACTACTCAATCATTGGCAGTAACCTCCAGACAAACTTCTTTGCTGAACATCTAGATCGAGTCTACCACGGGAGCGTATCACATTTTGTTTCTCTCTCAAATTTGAAACAAGGGCCGCGATACTCGATCATTCTTCGTTACAGATTGCCTTTGAATCCTTCTACAGAATCACCCTACACAAAAGATATTTGAAACACGGTATAAACTACACGCTCATAGAAAAATCTAGGCCGAACTGGTTCAAACTTCAGATGTTTGTTTAATAAACATTTGTAATTCCATCTCAACCTATACACACCTCATCACATCTCTCTCAAACCTCAGACGAGATGACCTGCAAAGTTCACACGGCATAAATTCCGAAAACATCAGAGGATTTATTACGGCCTTAGCATCAAACTACCATCTACTAGGTACCTTGGACTGGAGTCTAGAGTGATGATAATTTGGTGCGACAAGAGGCCGGCGTTTATTTCATATGATCATGAAAAACGAACACAATATATACCATTCGAACGATGAACCGATGAACTCTCTACACTTCCTGGCGAGGTATTCCCGATTATGCCTCTTCTCAAGCCACTTGAATCGACTCAAATGGCTCAACCTCCTACATCCAGACCAAAAATGTGCCACGGATGAATTGAGATTTATCGGTTGATTGGCAATTAAAGCAAACGTTAAGATTCCCATCTTGACCTTATGGGACTATTTTGATTGGGTATGGTTGGTATGGTTAATTTACGACAAGGTCCCAAAGAACACTTTGACCATCAACCAAGCATTTTTGCGACATTTCGTTTCTTGCAATGTTCTCTCCCGAGTTACCTCTTGCACAACCCCGCAAAAACACGTCCTGGCTCTTAAATTATTCAAGCTAATAATCGGAAAATGTTTCCAATATCAGAATATTCATACTTGGGACCGACGATAGGACCTTATTAGCCGTTCTCTTCTTACAAAGTTTACCTCGATACTCCACTTGGGACACACTTGGGAGACACTTGGAAAGTATTTGGAGGGGTATCTGCTACTAGTTAGGTACTGTCAAAATTGTTAAGCTTTCTTGCCAACCAATGGTTTGCTTTGGATATTTCTCTTTCTTTCATTCATTACTCGTTTCTTTGTTTACAAGAAACAGTTTTAATACAGTGTTCCCCAGTTATTGTTCATTCCTTTCCAGTATACCAGCCGGTCTGTTGTGATACATTCCCTTGAGTTTTTCTTTGTCTCTGGGAGTACAAAGAGAAAGCATTTGCCAAGGACCTTCACTTTTCAACTTTCCTTCTTGACGTCTATCTCGCTTTGCATTGTTCCATTGTTTGTTCTCTTTCCTCGAGTGCATTCACTCGAGTTCGCTTGAGGAGTCACCCCATTGTTCTCTGTCACAATAAAGAACCTTCGATTCATACAATAGTCTTTGTTTAGTTATAATTATTGTTATTACTCGAGTATATCTATTGTTCAGTCATACTAAACAATGTTCACGCTGGCCGGGAATCATCTATAAAGTTCGACACAATAACCTTTCAATGTCTTCTTCTTCATAAATCGAACCATTACTTCTTTCAATCTCACAACTCTCCGAATCGAATAAACATTCACAAAGAACTCGATCAGAAGAAGCAGAACTCGAACCTATAAGTTTAAATCAAATACACATCCTTGCAGGCAAGAAAAAACACACCGATTCAATTATTCAAACACACACAGCTCGAAACTTAAGAAAAACTTCAACATGAAGTCTACAATTTCAATCGTCATTGCGGCTTTCGTATTGCTGTTCCAGATAACCACAGCTCACACATGGGCTGATGAGCTTCGAGTCATTGCACGAAATGGAACCTTCACAACTCCAAAAGGCTACCCCCGTGCTTACACTCCCCGGACTGGAGCATACAACCCCGACGACAATCTCTGGAAACTCTTGAATACTGTTCCCGATTCTACCACGATCTGTAACCCAAAACAAGTACCAGGAGCAAAGCCTCTAGACTCGTCTCAACAAATTTTGAGCGCTGCTCCAGGAGACTTTGTTGCCGTCAGATACCAAGAGAATGGACATGTTACTGAGCCTACACAAGCAGACACTCCAGAACAAGGCAAGGGCTTCGGCAGCGGTATTGTGTACGTTTACGGTACAGCTGACAGCAAAGCAACCGACAAATTCAACGAAATTCACAAAGTATGGAACAAAGATGGAACTGGCGGAGACAAGCGAGGAAAGCTTCTTGCCACTCAGTACTTTGATGACATGGCATGCTTTCTTGCAGGCAATACTAATGGCAACCTTTTTGTTGACGAACCGAATAACCAAGTCACTATTGCTATGGCAAGAGCAGAAGCTTATAAATTCGCACCGACAACTCAAATGGGCGCAAACCTCTGGTGCCAGACTGATTTCCAGATTCCAGCAGAAGCACAAGCAAACAAAGACTACAGCATTTACTGGGTTTGGGATTGGCCTACCATGGATAAGAAGACCGGCAAGACAACCGTCAGCGAAATCTACACTTCTTGTGCCGACATCGCCATCACTGGCACTGCCAACAAGGATGAAGTCTCTTATGTTGCACCTCAAGATCTCAACAGCGCTGCGCAATGGAGTCAGATGGTCAACCCCTTTGTCGTCGATCCCACCGCCGCTCAAAAACCATGGTCTATGCGCGCAACTACCAATCTCTTTGCTAAGCCAACCGCCTTCGCTTCAGCTGGAACAACAGCTCACGTTCAACCAACCACTGCAGCCTCCAGCTCTCAGCAACAGTCATCCACCATTCAGCAACAATCATCCACCACCCAGCAAGTAGCAACCGCTGCCCCAGTCTCTACACATCAAGGCTTCACCACCGTCACTATTTACGTCACTCAGACCTCAGGTGTAGCAAATCCAACAGGTGTCGCCACCGGTGCGCAAGCAGGTGTTGGGGCTCCCTCGGTTTCTCCTTCTGGATTCGCATCAGTAAGCACTTCAGTCCCTTCAAGTGTAGCTTCTGCTTCCCCTTCTGGATTCGCATCGGCAAATGCCTCAGCTCCTTCGGGCGTGGCTTCCGCAAGCGGCTCCTACGCCCCTTACCCTGCCATTCAACCTTTCATGAAGCGCTCTCTCCAGATCCGAGGCCGTAACGTGAATTGAGTTCGAACAGGGATGGAAAGCGTCAACGGACGGAGTGGAGGAATAGACGAGTGGATAAATAGATAGATAGATTAGATAGATACCCCCCTTTCTCCTTTGAGGCAACTCAATTACATGCACAGCACAGCACAGCCAAAATTGATAGATAGATAGGATACCCTGGAGTTCGTTTTTGTTTTTTTTACATTATTACGGAGTTTTTAGGCGATTTTTCTCTTCTTCTTTTCTTTTAGAATTCTTTATGATTCTTTGAGGCTGGCTGGCTGGCTGGTTCATACAATACAACACAGATTGTTTTTTCTTTTGTTAACTTTATATTTTACTTCACTTTTACTTTTACTCTTTGCTTTTTATGACGACGATGATGATGATGATGATGATAACGACGACTTTTTTTCCTGCGGTGGTGGATTTGGAGCATGTGAACAAGGCGTTCGGTTTGGTTTGGTGCATGGAATGGTTATGAAGAGTATATGGATATGGATGATACCCCATTGGACTTGCATGGCTTTTTACTACGCTCGTTTTTGTTTTTCATTTTTCTTACGTATGGAGAAGGGGAGAGGGTGTTTAGGTGTTGAGGAGGCCAGGTGTTTAGGAGACTAGATATTACATCGTTCATAGCTGGTTATTAATGGTTGTGAATGGAATGCTTATAGATGAATATGAAAGCTCTTATGAATAATGAATTCTGAATTTTGAATAATTATATCTTGGACGTGTGTCATGTGTGATGTATGTGATGAGTAGTGATTAATCCAACCCCCCCCCCCTGATGAGAAATGATAGATAGATACTAAGGTTATATAGTCGATCTAGAATATTTACCTAGATTAATACATTGATCTAATTTGCGTAAACCATTCAAGTTCTCGAGTTATAATATACGCACTATATATGTATTGATAAATCTTGTGGATTTCTTTTCTTGAGTGTTTATATTTAGACAGGTAGGTAGGTAGGTAAGTAGATAGGTATTTACATATATCAATTTTTTATTTCAAACTTTATGAGATCTAATTTTGATGCTGGATATTGTTTGATTGTGGTGGTGTAGTTCTGGTAGTTCTAGTATTTCTGGTCTTCTCATCTTCTCATCTTCTCATCTTCTCATCTTCTCATCTTCTCATCTTCTCATCTTCTCATCTTCTCATCTTCTCATCTTCTCATCTTCTCATATCGCTATACCCCTACATCCCAATATCCCTATACGCCAATACACTAATACTCCTATATCCCTCTCTAAACACAATCCAAATTCAAATCCAGAATTCTAGATATCCTCTAGAATAAGAGGGGAGGAGGATAGAAATGATATTGAATAAACATAAGTGGAAGTGTGGAAGTATGGAAGTGTAGAAGTGTGGTTGAGGTGAGTTATGTGGTGTTTTATAAGATGTATAATGTTTATGTATTGTTAATGAGACAGATATTATATCAGAAGAGAGGAGGAGAAATGGGGGGAAGAGGGGATCTGATTTATTTTTGTATATAAAGAGTGATGAGTAAACGAATGAGTGATAAATGAACGATGGATAGATAGATGAGTTGAATTAGTTGAGAGTTATAACGGATTCAAGTTTTGAAACACAAAAGGGGGAAAGAGGAGATTGGAAGAATGCATATATAAATTATGATCACTAGGACGGATAATTTGTTTGTATGACAGATGAGAAAATGTGAACTGATGAATAAAGAATACGAGATTCTCTATCTTATTCTTCGATATTTCCATGTTATATTATATCTCAGTGCCGGTATAATATAATAAGTTCAGGGTTGACATCTATCGTCTTTCTTGGAAAACTTTCCTAGCTTGCTCTGTCATAGAAGAAGAGCCCTATCTTTCTTTCATACTCTGAGTTTCCCGTCGCATCGCAACTGATCGAAATTCATATCTCCATTTCCATATTTACATTTCTCCGCATAGAGAAATGACGACAGGTAATTGCGGAGCATCTTTTGGATTCGTGCGAGTATTTTCCATTTTACGGACGACGTCCATTCCATCGACTACTTTGCCAAAGACAACATGTTTATTATCGAGAAAGGGAGTTGGGACTGTGGTTATGAAGACTAGAGAGGTGTTAGTGGCGTGATTTGGGTGGTGATAAAGTGAAGGGGAGGAGATGTGCAAATAGGATGTACAAAGATGAGATGACTTACATTGAGAACCATTGGTATTTGGACCAGCATTCTATATCCAGATTAGTTTCATACACAGCTTCAAGACTACTAGGAGAATTGTATAAAAACATACCGCCATCGACAAAAGTCCCGGTTCCGTATGCTTATGCGTAAAATTCTCATCATCGAATTTACTCAATCCATAGATACAAGTAGAACCCGTACCATCTCCATTCAAGAAATCACCACCCTGACACATGAAATCCTTGATCTATACAACATGTTAGAAGTGACTCGGCGGAAGAGGGAAGGGGTCATACGATTCGATGAAATTTACTGCCTTTGTATCCTTGCGGTCTACCAAGATGATTTTTGGTTTCCCCAGTACAGAATTGACGGAAATTTTCGGCCGTCTTGGGAACTACATCGGCGAAGAGCTCAAATTGGATACGACCGAGTGGCTCACCTGGTTGATGTTAGAGATTCATGCACGATCTTCCGAATTGGAGATGTTCGAAGATAGCACGTGATGAACTTCGATGAACTTAAAAAATCCGGTTCCTCAAGCTACTAGCTGGATGTACCGGAACACTCCTTCCAAAGATTAAGGGGAGTGAAGCACGTGGACAAAATAAGCAAAAGACAAAGAGATCAGCGATCACACGAGTTGATGTGGAACGACCCGGTACTTTGGAATGCTAACATTTAGACTCCGCCGGTTCCGTGTTTAAAAGTATGCATGAAAAATGGTATGGTTTCTGGATGGATGGATGGATGGATCATGCCGTGAAAATGACTAACCTCCGATTGTGATATCAAAGAAGACTCTATTCACATGTTTGTCAGTACATGGTGATCTTCTCCAGACGTTAAAGGTTGCATCAGCTAGCTATACGAACAGAGGGTTCCCCGACGCGGGTAACTGAGTTGGTGGCATATTTTAAAGGTGTGGGTGTTGAGGTTGTGGTGTTTGGAGTATTGAGATATGTCCAAAAGAGGAAATCTTTTTGATTAACTCCGAATGTCCTACTGCAAGCGTATGTATCGTTCCCGGGTTGTATCAAAAAGTCCAAAGCGTATTCAATACGGTACGTTTGGAGGGGGAATGGTAATCTTTGACAAGGTTTAACAATCGATCTAGAAGTGTTGTGGACAAATAGAAGCTGTATGAATTTGATTAATGAGATAAAGAATTTCCTTATCGAATCAAAACTCTCGAGAATGATTTGGATGATGTAAGGTCGATTAGATGGTCACCCAAGTGTTAGATCTTTTCGTTGTCAGGTGTTAATCGTTGTGTGGTATTGAAAAACACGGGTCATTCCTTAGAAAAAAGGTCTCTCGGCAGACAAGATTGATCGTCGTTTTGGAGAGTTTAGCGTCATATATGTGCAGAACTGATTGGAAAAGTTACCAGGGTGTTGCGAGGGGAAACTCAGAAAAGCTTGATTTTTCATCATAGATCATAATGAATGGATGAATAAATCCACTGCTGGACGATACGGCACGGATTTGAATCTTTTGACTGGAGAGGGAGGAGAGGAGAGGACAGGACAGGAGAGGAGAGGAGAGCTATCACGAATCATCAAGAATCATTACCTACCCATGATCTAATACTCAATAGTCAAGACTCTCGGCCAAAAGTTTATTGTTCCTATTTCTATGTGACATTGCTTGGCCACTAACTTTCATGAGGTAGGATTTCTGACATGTACATATGCCAATCGATCATGATCAATCGTTGGCTGCATGTATGAAAGTGGCCATACGATACACCAGCCAGATACATGAAAACGAGGCGAGAACCGCGTTCAATCTCCATTTCTTGGAGCTTGGGAAGGGGAACAAATTCATTGATAATCCCAAAAAACAGTCCACTTCACAATGAAAGAGATTTGATATCGGAAAGATCAACACGAGTGAGTGCATACATATCTTCAAACTGATGATGTACTGAAAGGTATCATGGGATGTCAGCTCACTCTCCGATCTTCTAGGTTTCTATCGTCTTGCATAATGAATCAAGGAGGGATGGTTTAGTATCAAACTCAACGCGCTCCGAACTCCCCGGGTGGATATTATCCAATGATATCGGTTCAGATTGTAATGAGACAGATATTGTATGCATATACTGAATGTATTGTAATCCCATGAGCCCATCTCTTACCATTTTTTGCGTCTAAAAGAAGGAGGCCCAATTGTCTCAGATTTAAACGTTTTTGGAAAATCCATGATCGCTTCCGGTCTATCCATACCTCAGACTTTATGAAAATCTTTTGGAAGTGAGAAGATACCTCGATATCCACGATGTGGTAGGTAGTCAGTCATCTTACATGCACACACCAGAATCGCCATTCCCAAACTCATCAATGTGGATGGATGCATCTAGAGTAACGAGGAGAATTCCGGATTGTGTATCCGATCCATCTCTAGATTTCATGTGGCTTACCATTCGGGGTTTGTCTTTGCCCATTGCAAGTTGCAACGCCGGTCGATGCTTTACCTGAAGTCCAATCATTTCTCACGGATACGATATTGACAAACCGTTACCACACTTGTAAGGTATAGGTAGGACCCGACTGTTCTTTTGATTTGTGTATGGAAGTGAGAGAATGAAAATGTATTTCAAATACTTGGTGGGATGGGAGAGGCGAAAAGGGATGCGTAGAATGGAAGGAAAGTTGGGTGGGTATATATTTAGATATTTAGATATTTAGATATTATCGCCATCATAATAATCATAAGCATTGCCGTATTGAGCTTTGTAGATATATAATAATATCCTCGATACTTAAGTAGTTGTTGATATTTAAAAGTTCAACCTCCTTTAATCTTCTGTTCTTGTATTTTAAGTATTATAAAGTTTTTTTTACCTACTCAGGTAAGTTATCTATTTTAAATTCTCTTCTATCTATTTATGTATTATATATCTACCTAGGTAATAATATCCTTCACACTTCACTCTTCTATGAGATTTCTTCATTATCAAATACATACTATACTTACTCGAGACTTGCTAACGGTATTTACGATAGTTATACGAAACGATACGAAACGATACGATATCCGATATTAGAATATGTACTTACATCGGTACATATATACCTGGTCATTCTTTCGATCTCCGCAAAAAGGAATTCCAAAACCTGTCTGGACGCATTCGGGAAGTACCTTGACTAGTTGAGTATGTGAGTATGTGAGTATGTAATATGTAATATGTATGATATATGTACGAGTAGGTATGAATATCGTTGGTGAGAATTTAATTCACGCACCTAATCAATATCTGTTTCCGTTCAAATCCATTCACATCCAGTCAAATTCAGTAAAAACGTCCAAACAAAGACTCAAGCACTCGAGTCGAGTACTCTTTGATCATTTTATTCATCTACCATTTCCCCATTGATTTTCATCAGATTGTCATTACTCTGACATCCTGACTCGATTGGAATTCCCGACCATCGATTTACAAATAATCGTCGGTTGCTTGGACTTCCTCTTTCGCCATCTTTTTTAATCAAAATCCAAAAGACTTTGATCTCTCTTGTTATTATTAATAAGCCAATTCCAATTCCACTCAACTCAACTCAACTCAACTCAACTCAACTCCAACTCCGACTCCAACTTCCAACTTTCAACTCTCAATCCACCCCCCAAGTCAAAGTTAAATAATTCAAAGGTGTGTTTCAATTGATAAGAATTAAATCCTCAACTTACTTGTTTTGTTGCAAGATCCCATTTATCATCCATTATTAAATATTAAACTTGCTGACCCCATCTTTTTTTTTCTCCAGCCTTCGCCCTCTACGCCCAGTTTTTGTTACTTTATCCACAAAAGAACAGCCTCTCGATTTCATCCATCCATACATTCTATTCATCCACCCCCCCCCCCCCCCCCTCCCCATCTCCCCCATCCCCCATTAATGCACATTGTCGCACCAAGGAAAGGACTCGTGTGAATCGCTTCACTTTACTCTACTCTACTTTACTTTACTTTCATTCACCTCTCACTTCAAACTTTTAATACTTGACTCTTTCCAATATTATTGATCATTGGGAACGGGAACGGGATCGAGAATCGGAAAAGATTGGTTCATATGAATTGATCATTAATCAATAGTTTCAAATGATCTCGGTAAAAGGATTTCTTTGATTCATTCATTCACGACCACTGTGGCAATCAATAATCTCATCCTGTATTGTATTGACCCACCCATACGACCTAACTCTGGGAACGTTAGAGGGTTGAACGGCGCTGCACAATTACAACAACACATCGCTCAACTAAAAGATGGCGCTAGTTAATGGAATGGTAGAGGTCGTCAAGATCGTCGCGAGGCAGACTACAATCGCACCTTCGTCAACAGTAGCAACTTCGTCCCCGATCTCATCCACCTCAGCATCTGCTACTCCATCTACACCAACATCCAATAACAACAGTAGCCCAACTAGTTCGCCACTGTTGTTCTTCGTTGCGCTGGGATTTGGTGTCGTATTTACAAATTTATGGTAAGTATCTTAGGGGGTTCGAATGACTGCTTATCACTAACCTCCACGAAGGATTATTGTTGGTGTCAAATACTGTTTTCGATACAATGCTAGGAATCGGGCTGCGCGAGAAATGGGCGAGAACCCGATCAATCTCGATAATATGCCACCCCGACCACACCGAAGGCGCCGGGAAAAGAAGCTCATGACCATGGACGAAGTGAACGAACGATTTCCTTTGACGAAATACAAAACCTGGGTAGCTAATCGAGCTAGCGAAGGACTACCAACTAGTGGGGGTGTTACAGCGCCGCCAAGCCGAGCTGCAAGCGTGGCAGAAGTGGAGGGTGTAGAGCCATCTTCGCCTGTTGGAACAAAGCATTCTATCAACACCAGGCCAGCCACAGCCACTTCGAACAGAGATGAAGCAGCACCATCATCGCCAGCACATACTATTAGAGGTGGATATGGCGACAGAAAGAGTATGGATGCGGTAATTGCGGAGAAGACACCTGTAACGACCGAGGAGCGTAAGGAAGAACTACATCATTTGGAAGAAGTTCCAACGAGAGCCAGCACAATCGATAATAAGAATATTGCAACAGTCGAAGACGTTGAGGATGATGACGAGGATGATCATATTCATACCGCCGTACCTCCCGAGCTCCTCAACAACCCAGGAGATTCATGTGCTATCTGCATTGATTCTCTGGAAGAGGATGATGACGTTCGTGGTTTGACTTGTGGTCACGCTTTCCATGCCTCATGCTTGGACCCATGGTTGACTAGTCGTCGGGCTTGCTGCCCACTTTGCAAGGCGGACTATTTTACACCAAAACCCCGACCTGAAGGTGAGCCTGAGCCTGAGCGACATTCACGTAGAGCGCACGCCTCGAGGGCAAACATGCCTCAACAGCCACAATCAGCTTGGACTGGAATTCGAGGTATGCCGGGAATTTTCGGAGCATCTGCTAGATCAAATGTGGATACCCGAAATCGCGATGAACGACAAACTAGGCGAGCACGACAAGCTCAAGCTCAAGCTGGACCGACGAGTGTAGCAGCCGATGGAGGAGCACCCGAGGCCACCACTGCCCCAGCAGCGAGCAGATGGAGGCCAAGAATACCGGCGGCTTTCACCGGAATTCGTATGCCTGGTAGTAACAGAGCCACAGGAAATGCTTCGACGCAATCAGCCAGTGCCGAGCCAACACCTTCTCAGCTAGAAGCAGGTCGTCGTTTTGCTTGAGGATAATTGAGCTTTAACTGGACAAGTTGAGCCATCTATTAAGTGCCTGGGGAATTGTTGAGAATAATGCAGTGATATTATTGGCATCATCACAGTGAGAATTACCTGTGACCTTTTAATCACGAGTACATATCTACCAAGCTGTACCTAATCCTTTGCAACCATGTCTCAACAAATATTTCCAAGTCGCCTCCAATTCACTGACCTTTCCCATCAATCAACCAATCCGAAAAGCCCATGCCCCAGTCCAGCAGACGGCCTCAACCCACCCCCTTTTCAGTCGTCTCAATACCTAATTTCGATCCGTCATATCCCAGGCATTGTACATACACTCAGATACCAAGACACTCAATACATCTCAGTATTTGAGCTTGTCTTCAGAATTTTCTAGTCCGCCACAAATCTCTTATGATATTGTGCTCCTTTAGCGAATGTTTATCTTATTTTACTTTTACTTTTCTTTATCGACATATTTTCGATTGGCCTCGGCTTCTGATTCCGGTTTCTGGCTGGTATACATGGTTCGGGGCCACACGAACGGGACGGTGGGATGGGTGGGAAGGACAGGATGGGCAGGAACGGTTTTCAAAGGAAATTTGAAGAGGTCGATTCCGGGGTGTTCGAGGAGGTGACTGATGAATAAATGAATGAATGAGGGGGGCAGGCGGGACACATAGACCGATATCATCTGACTTTTATCTGATCGCATGGGATGTATATGGATGCATGCGTGGGTGGGAGGCGGGACTTGAGGGCATGTTGGGATCGGAGTCGGTTACAAATACAGGGCTGGCGGACATAGGAGTGTGGGGGTGATCCATTACATACAATAGCTGATATCAAAGAGAGAAATATCCACACTTATACATCGTCGTACTATTGACACTTATGCATCGTTGTTCTTGAACATATCTACAATGAATGCTGCTTTGAGTTGCAGGAAACGAAGCGTGGTTCAGGTTAGGATCTAACCGAAAAGTCAGACAAGTAGACCGAGATGCTCTCAAATACACAAGAGACAGCCAAATTGAGTGAATTGTGAATATTAAGTTAAGTGCTTGACTACCTAAGTACCCTGCTATGCATTCCATAAAAATGAAACTGACACGCGCGCCCGATATCTTTTAACATACATCCCCCTTTGCATGCATTCTCATGGTATTTTCCTCCTCCCCCGTACTTCATTTTCATCTCATGGATCGTGTTATATCATATCATATCATATCAAATCATCATTTCCAGAGACGAGACTCGGGAACGATTAATTATTAGACCTATAACTCATCTTCTTCAAGTTACCTTCCATTCCATCAAACCAGCAGATCTTCAATTCAATCATCTTCCTACACGAATGACACCGGCAGCGATGAGTTGTTGGATCTTGGATCTGATTTGTGGGTTCTTCATGTGTTCCTGAAGAGCGGCGGGGTCATTTTGAGCTTGTTGGAGAATGCTTTGCATGACTGGATCACCCATAATTCTTTGGATCTGTGATGATTGTTAGCAATACAATCTCGAGATGATCTACTTCTTAACTTACCTCAGGGTCTCTTGAAAGCCTCTCCTTAGTCTGTTCCTCAGTCTCATTCTCTCTGGCACTGTACATGGCATTAACAGCCTTCTGCTGTTGCTGCTCAATTTCTCTAGCATTTGCCTTTGTGACATCAGCCTCGCTAGCTTCGTTACAAGCATCGAGAGATTTGGAGTAATCTCTCATGCCAAAGTATGCTTGTGCTTTTCGGATGTAAGCTCTGACAAACTTAGAATCCTTGGAGATTGCCTTGTCGCAATCTTCCAAAGCAGAAGGGAATTCAAGAAGCTTGATGAAAGAAGCTGCACGGTTACTGTAACCTCTTGGATCCTCTGGAGCACGCTTGATCATCTCGCTGTAAGCCTCGACTGCTCCAGGCCAATCTGACTCCTTGAACTTTTGGTTTCCGAGTTCACGAGCCTCTTCAGCCTTTGCTGGGTCAATGTAAGCCTTTCTGGCACTATCAATCTTGTTCTTCTCTGCTGCACGGAGCTTGTTGACGACGTCAGGGGTACGGTGTTCGGTGAGCGACTTGTTGTAGTTCTCAATGGCCTTTGGCAGATCTCCCATCTTCTCATAGGAGGTTCCGATACGGGCGTATGATTTAGCGATCATCTTGAAATCGGCGTAGATTTCTCGTCCCTCTTCAACAGCCTTCTCACATGCCTTAATGGCCTCTTCATACTCTCCCTTCTCGAAATATGCAGCACCAAGGTTATTAAGATACGTGATATCCTTGTAGATTTCCCAAGCTTTGCTGTAATGTGCAATCGCCTCATCAAAGTTCTTCTTCTTGTACTGTTCAGTACCAAGTCTCTTTTCCTCGTCGGCTTCGGCCTTTGCCTTCTTCTTCTCGGCAGCCTCCTCATCCTCTGGCTCCGGTTCTGGCTCGGTCTTGGCCTTCTTGGCTTGTGGTTCTTGCGAGCTTGGGCGTACATCTGGCATTGCGACATCCTCCTCGGCCTCCTTAGGCGCAGAAGCACCCTCAGCACCTGGAGCGCCACCGAAAGCACCCGAATCGGCGAAAGACATGTCGACACCCATCAGGACACCCAAGACTTGAATCATACGTGGATCTGAGAAGAGTTCTTGAGTATTGCCTGGGTTAGACTTGATTTGTTGAAGTTTTGACATGAAGGTTGGGTCTGAAAGGAATTTGGCGGTCTTGGGGTTTGCTGCTAATTTAGTGATGAGTTGAGGATCACTGAACATATTTCCGAGTCCTTCTGTTGGATCACCCTTTACACCATCTATAAATGCTTTGTTAGCCAACCGTTTATGCAGCTCTAGACTTTCCAAAACTCACCTGCTTTAGCCTCTGCATCGATGGATTTCTTGACTTGTGCCAAACCCTTGGTAGCAACTGCATAATTTGCATCAAGCTTCAAAGCCTCTTCGTAAGCATCATGCGCTCCCAAAAGATCTCCCAAACTTTGCTTAGCAGTACCAACTCTACCCCAGCCCTTGGCCCAGTCAGGCTTAATACTCGTACACTTTTCAGCATCCTTCAAGGAGTTTTCAAAGTCTCGTTTGGAAGCATATGCAGCCGATCTATTAGAGTATAGGATGTGGTTTTCTGGTTCGATAGCAATAGCCTCGGTGAATTTCTCGCTGTGAAGTCATTAGTAACTTCTCTTCACGTATATTCCTCCATAACAAAACCCCAGTGCAACGACACCAGAGATAGCTCTTCGGAGTTATACAGCCTTAGAAGGACAAACAAAAGGAAAACTTACACAGCCTCGTCGAAATTCTTCTCTGCAATGGCTTTATTGCCAGCGGCTTTTAATGCGTCCGCCATGATGTGTGAAAGAGTTATGAAAGTAGAAAATCAGAAAAGGTGATAATTAAAGGTCGAAAGTAATACTTAAACTCGAATGCTCAAATTATAAAGTTGGGTTGGAGGTTGGACAAGCATCTCTTTATTTTCCCTCCACTTGTTTCCAGAGCTTTCGATGCCCGCCTCGAATGGTCCGAGCTTCTTGTTCAAATCACATGAGTAATTATTTTGGGATGGTGGGGGAAACAAGGCTCGAGCAAGGCTATCTATCCAACATACTACTAGATAGTTGACTACTCCTAGGGATCTAGATGTCTAGATGTCTAATGTCTAAATGATCTGTCTAAGTCTCTTTTATTACTATTTCTATAAACTATTCAAAGTTGACTTTTTACTCCAAAGTCTACTTTTACTCTTCCACACTTTTATACTTTTACATTTTACATCTCTAAAACAGGGACTATTGCAATCTCCAGACCCTTAGCCTAACTTAAAATTCAAGCGTGGTGTCTGATGCAAGGTTAAATTAGATAGATGCAAATCAATCATACATACATAGACTTCCGTCTGTCTTTCTTGACTGAAGTTTAGAACTTTAACTTAAAATCCTCAAATGTTTGACACCCAGAATTCAGTTCTTTTGTAGAATAACCGATATCCCTACATCTTGCACAACCCTGCATCTTGCACACTTTTATTTCTTTTGAAAATAATATTCTAAAAATGATATATAATCAACCAATCATTGAATTCTATTAAAAATAAAAATAAGAATACTATAATATTATTTCTTTTATATAAAATAATAAAATCATAATTACAATTAATAATTGAATATAAATCTCGATATCAAAACTATTAATATAAAATTATTATATATTAATTTATTTAATAATAGAAATAATAAAAGCTTGTTTTTAGAATATATTCTATAAATTTGAAGATCTTTTAATATAAGGAATCAAAAAAGCTAATTTTAATATCAAAAATTCGAAATTATATTAATATATAATAAGAGTTTTAATAAATAATTGTTTTAAAACAAAAATCTTTTAATAATTTAAGTATTAATAGTATTCTGAATATAATTAATTATATAATATAATTATTTATATATTAATATTAATAATTAATAATAAAGATACTATATTTTATATATATTTAGATATATAATCATTTTATTTTAAAATATTAATATTTAAAAATTAAAATTATATAATCGATAATAAAGAATTTTTATTCAAGTATTTTTTGAAAGAAAATCTTGATTTAAATTTTAATATTTAAACTTATAATTAGTATTAAATATTAAAAATAAATTTGAAATCTAATATACATTATAAATTCTTAGAACTATATAAAATTTAAAACTTTTTTTAGAAATAAAATTCTTTTAAAAAAAGAACTATAATATTTTGATTGAAAAAAATATATAATAAACTTTTCAATTAAAATATAAAGATTAATTATTTTAATTATTATTTTTTCTTATTTATATTATTCTATAATATAATTAATTATAATTTCTATCACGGATCGCACCCAATCGCAATTGCGATCGCTCACGTGCGCATTTGCGCACGTGCTCGATCACGTGTACATAGTTAGTATATAGGTGCGCTCTACAAGCACTTTGCTCTTGATTCTATAGTTATAAATTCTAAGGATAAATTATATCCTGTTTTCATAGTTCTTTTAAGACAAAGTGTTATATTATCTACAACTCTTTATACAATCACACAGTTATCTAATAATTATTCAAATAATATCTTATAATCATAATATCTTTTTAAATAAATTATATATCAATATTATTTATAAAAAAAAGATTTATTCTAATTAAAATTTGATAAAGATATTCTTTTAAATATATAGAGTTATAAATACTATTATCATATTTTCTATACTATCCGATTTAGATTACAACCTATTCACCCTGAAAAGCTTATATTGTTCACCTATTAATTGAGCTCCTATATCCAATAATAATCAATCTCAAAGGGATAATAATAATAATTCTTACAATTCTAATGTAAATATAGATAGATATAGAAAAAGCAAAGAGTATAAAACCAATTCCTTAATTAAAATATTAATTCTTAAGGGTAATAATTTAGAACTAGTTCTTTAAAATTATAAAGAGTAAATATTGATAATAAAAGTATTATAAAACGAAATTGCAAAACTTTAATTAGTATTACTATAATATAATTCTAATACCATTTGTTTGTTTTATTTGCTTATATAGCAATAATAATATTATACAAATTCCCCTGAGAATTACAAAATTTGGATTTCTGATATTTCTATTACCTTTATTGAAAAAATATTTCTTATTTCTAAAAAAAAGAAAAATAAGAAAAAGATTTATTTATAAAATTAGTTTTTATAATAATCTCTTTTTTCTTTTGAAAATAATCCTTATTTACTAATAATTGTACTCAATTACAATTTATTGTTTTACTGAATATTCAATTTTCATTTTGATATTATTCTTATAGAAAGACTATATATTCCAAAGTTTATTAATTTTTTATTCAAATTTAAAAATAGTATGAAATCAAAAGCAAGCTTATAATAACTATTAATTATAAAGTAATTAAAGCTATATATAATATTGTTTATTATAAAATTGCAATACCGATTTTACATAATAGATTAGATAAAAGGGAAAGCTTAAAAATATCTATACTCCTTATATATACAAATCCCCTACTTGATAGAACTCCAATTGATTAATGAACTCATAGTAATATATAAGAACCCCATAGAAATCAATTATATACGAATTGAATATGAACATTAGATTATATTTAATAATATTTAAAGAAGTAATTTCATAGTATAATATCAAAAATTCCAATTATTTACTATTCAAATGGAGATTACGAATAATAAGACTCTCTTCCACAATTTGAAAAGAAAAATATTCGATTTTCTTTGATAAATAATTAGTTTATATATTAAAGATTATAATATTATTAAAAAACTAGTCAACAAATTTACAGAAATTGATAAGCTTGAGATTATTATTCAAGAATGCAATCGCTATTAGTTAAATAAGGAAATATTAACTAAAAAAGCTAATACTACTATCTTTACACAAAATATATTCAAAGATATAATTTGAATATATATCAATATAACCCCATTTATTCAGATTCATTCTTAATTTATTCCTTATATTTTTATTAATTATATAGAAACCTTTAAGCTAAATAATACCCTAGCTCTAGGAAATAGCTTTACCCATAATTTCACATTCCCTGCTATAAAAGCTAATTACAATACTATTCCCCGTATAGACAATTTTAGTATTATAGTAGAAATCCAGGAGACTAAAGAAATTAAAGATTTTTATAATACTAAGAAAAATGCTAAAAAGAATTTAAACTTAGAGGTTTAAATGGAAGCTATTGATTTCATTATAAATATAGAAAATCAACATTTAAATCAAAATATTTAAATTAAAATTCCTATTTAAATGTGATTTGGGATATGAGATTTCTCAATTTGATAAATCTACTCTATATATTCTCGAAGAATGAATATTCCTATAATATTTAATTTCTTATAGATTCTAGAATAAATGATTATACTTTTATTAATAAGATATTTTTTTTATTACTATTTTCTATATTTAAATCTTGTATTTTATTATTTAATACTATTATTAAAGTCAAAAGCTATAATAATATAAAAAGCAAAACTATCACTTATTATACATTCCTTAATTTTATAATTAATATCTAATAACAATTATATATATTATTCCTTATTATCAATTTAGATTTATATAATATAATTCTAGGTTATATATAAATAACAAAGGCTTAAATTAAGCTAAATTACTTTAATTAATATTTCGATTAATTTATGGAATATTCTCCTATTATTTTTTTATCAAAAAATATATCTTTGATTAGGGATAGCCTATAAGCTTTTAAAATTAGTTATTTGATATAATAAAATATTAATAATTGGGATACCTAATTAAATAAAATATATTATAAATAAAATAATAATCGATAGAATATAATAGCAATTCTATTAAAAATATTTTTTATTCTTTTTTAGAATATTAAGAAAATATTTTCAATTTCTATCAAAACTTAAGTTCTAGTAAATCTAGAAAAAAAATCTGTTTTCCTTAAAGTCCCTATCCGAGCTATATATAAATCTTTATCTCTTTATATCTTCGATATATTCAATATCTATATACTCAAACTAATACAGTTCCAATTCACTTATAAAAAAAATAAGAATTATAAAATCTTTATAATAATATATAAAGAAATCAATTATATTATATCACTTTGATATTCTAATCAAAAAATTAAATACTATTTTGCTATTGCAATTATTATTTTGAAAAATTCTAAATCAGAAATTATAATTACCCTCAATTATATTATTATAGATATTAAAATAAAATCTTTAATTCTTATAGATTATCAATTATATCACTAAGCATTTTTTAAATACAAATTCAATATTCTATTTTTCTTCTAATTATATAATTATAAGATTATATTAAAAGAAAAAGATAAGAAAGCTCTCAAATACAATCTTTTATATAAGATATTACTTAAATAATTGGAAATTATTAAAAAATATATTACTAAAAATCTAATTAAAGAATTTATAGAATCTAATTAAACCCTATTCACAATTCCAATCCTTTTTATAAAAAAGCTAAATGAAAACTTATAGTTCTATATAGATTTTCGATTATTCAATTTTTTAATATACAAAAACAAGTACTCTTTACCTCTTATTGATAAAATACTTATACGATTTATTGATATAAAGATATATATCAAATTGAATATTTAATAAATATTTCATTATATTTATATAGATTTTATTTTTAAAAAATATATTACTTTTTGTATTTAATATAGTTTTTATAAATACAAAATTTTATTTTTTGAATTAATAAACAATCCTGTGATTTATTAATAATATATAAACAATATTCTATTTGATTATTTAAATAACTTTTATATTATTTATCTAAATAATATTCTTATATATTTTAAAAATGAAGATAAATACAAAAAATATATTAAATATATTCTCAAATAATTTAAATTTATTAACCTTTAAGTAGATTTCAAAA